CTACATATATAATAGCATAGAGTGCTTACCTCTTGATTGTGCAGCCTGTTCCTGATTTGCACGGTATGCAAAACCCATAACAAAGAAGACGGAAACTATTAAACATCTAATTAAATGAAATAAAAAAAGATGCATATACATAAATATATAAAGGTGTGTTTGGAACTCCAAGTGCAAGTATCTCCTTACCGTCCTCGTTCAAGGTCAGGAAGATTCATGTACCGCGTCAGGATTTCTTCAATGCTTCAAGAAACCAAAACAAATTCACCAGTTTATTTAATCAAACTCTCTCTCTAATTAAACAATGGTTGAACTAAAAACTCAAGAAAGGGGCGTGGTTTTTGCATATAAAATGGAGTTAGCAAACCTTTTGTTTCCAGAGAAGAGACTGAGTCTACCAGAAGGGGAAAACATGATGAGACCCACATCAACATCACAGAGAACAGAAAGTTCATATGCTTTCTTGATAAGCCCGTTTCTCCTTTTAGAGAAAGTAACCTGCCTGTTAGTTGTATTCTCAATTTTCTTGATCTGAAGCTTCACTCGTCCCATCTCTATCACTCTCTTCTTTTTGTGTATTTTTCCCCTGAGAAATCTATAACCTAGATATTGTGCGAGGAAAAGCAGTCTCTGTCACTCTCTTGTGCTATACATGTTTGTATATACTTAATGGAACCAACATAAATGCACGGTTATTGTTGGAAACTTATATAGAAAGAAAAATATATATTGTTTGAGAAGCAACATGTGAAGAGGAGGAGAAAATTAAGAAGGAAGGAAGATATTGTGGAAATTCAGACAATAGAATTTGTCTTTATCAGGCCATTTCTCAGAGATGACGAGAGAGAATGGCGGTGTAAAGCTTCAGTTTCCTTTAAGTAGATTAAATTTTATTGGGGAAAATTTTTTATGCCATCAAGCATTCGGGATGTTTAAGATCATTTCAATTGAACAATGATATATATATATATATGTGTGTGTGTCAAAATTCATTTCGGTTTATCATTCACAAATATATAAAACTTATATATTCCGTAAAACTCTATAAGCTGTTTCATTTTTTATTTTATTTTTTTATACTAAATTATTTTAGTGGAGGTGCTGAAAGCAGAATCTGTTTTCAAACCCCACCATCGTAAGGCAATTAAATGTAGAATCCAATTAAAAGATACGTAAATCATGCATTAGTGATAATTAAATAACCTTTTTAGAAGAAGATCACGACAAATAAAAATGGTAATTGATGAAGGGATTTAAAGAGAAAAAAGGCATCTACATATGCTATGTTTTTTTTTTATATGATCGAGGTTAGAAAACAGCCGGAGAAATGTGGGGGTCCCAGACAGCACATGGCGTTCCATGTACTTTCCGTTGTGGTTTTTATAGGCGAGGAAGACGATGACGATACAACCTCAACGTGTCATTGTTTGCTCGTTAATTTTCTTCGAATCTCTGAACCCCCCAACGACTCATCAGAATTCCTCCGCACATGTGGGTTCCCACCGTCTTCTCGAGGTATGTGCTTCACTGCTATACTATAATACAGAAACCTTTGTGCATCAAAGGGCTCCACACAGCTACGTACTTCTTTCTTCGTAAGTTTCTGCGTGATATCTTCATTGATTTACATCTATAATTCTCCTATAGGCCATATACGTCCATTGATTTAAAAAGAGGTACATGTTCTCTCTATGTTTGTTTCGGGAAAAATAATCTAATCCTAAATCTTGATTCACCAAAATGTTAGTGTTTTTGGTCGGTGAGCTGCGGAGTCAAGAATGCATGGACAAGAGGGAGAAGGCTGTATGGCCTCTGGTAAAACCAACTCTCTTAATCGGGAAAAGGGAATATCACGTCAACAGCACCAATGGACGTTTTATCTACTCTCCAGGACAAGAAGTTCCTCGCCCACTTCGAGCCACTTCATTATATGACAAATTGACAGCCACCAAAAAACATGACCGAAAGGTAGATGGTAGCTTGACTCGAACCTGGAGTGGAACTTGAAATTTAGGATAAAGAGATGAATAAAAAAATACTTTAAGATTTTTTCGTTGCAAAACATATAAAATTAAAAGATATAATTAAAAAATTTCAAGTTTTTAGTACTATAATGTAAAATTTTCCAAAATTCGAGGGTAACATGGCCCCCAACCGATGCACAGAGCTCCGCCCCTCGCTCGAGCTATTTCGTAAAAGTGGGCGGATTCGAGTTAATTATTATTCCTTACAAATTCAAGATACTTAAAAAAAATAGCCAATAAGTTATAGCTCAATTAGCAATGTTTTACCTTCTACCAGAGGTTCCAAATTCAAACTTCTCTTACGTAATAAAAAAATAAAGTATTTTATTGTCTGTCGATTTAATCTGCAGCTGATTTGTTTTATCTGAACGTATCAATATTTATAGATTTTAATTTGATTCATTTTATTTTTAAAAATTTAAATAACTTTTATATTAGGCCTGTGTCATTATTTTAGACATCAAACTAGTTATTATGATAATGGAATGAAATTTTCCCTCAGATTCTTAAAAAAAACATACGTGGTGATTGCTATTTAATTTGATTTATACTTGGTTTTATAATTAAGATTGATTTATACTTGGCTTGATAATTAAGAAACATAATATTGTAAGTTATCTAATTGTAGAAGAGAAGCAGAGTTAGAAAAAATAAAAAAAACAAAAAAAACTGATCTATAAATATGCCTAATCGTGAAACCAAAAGTAATTTTTCTTAATCTGAGTGTTATCCGTAATTGAATAACCAATAAAAAAAACACTAATTCTGATAAAATAAAATAAAAAAAGAAGAAGAAGACGAAGAAGGGAAAATAGTAAGAGGATTTTCATTTGCGAGACATTAGACGGGGCAAGTACTAATCGAACTATGATGCGCAGATGCGAGAGCCTAATGATTGGGCTTCAAATTTAAAGCCTGCCACGTTTAATAAGAGAAAATCTCAATACTGGGCTTGAGGAGTGGATGGGCTAGCTGAGTTCTCACATGCTGGCCCACCAAGCCCTCTTACTTTCTACTAATGGAGGTGAATTGCTACATAATCTAAGGGTGTAAAAATGAGCATATGAGTGAATTTTTAAAAATATTTTATAGGAAGTTAAAAACCAGATATTTTATGAAATGAGAATAAAATTATAAAAATATATCAAATAATTATTTTATAGGATCACTTTAACAAAAATTAGATATTAATTATATTTTTTAAACTATAATGTAAATTACGATAACTAAAATTGAGGTATGATTGTCTCGGTTTTATTTTTTTCTGAAACTTTTATATTATTTAAATTTTAAAATAACTATATAAAGTATCACTTCATAATTCACATAAATTACTTTATGCATCTACAATGATTAACTTATTTATTATAATATTAATAATTTTGAGTATTGTATTTTTAAAACTAATATTCATTGGGTCAAATATTTCGTCAATATTGCCATTAACTAAGCATTAGAATGCAAATATTCTATGAAAAAATGAGCATTTAATTCATTACCTCTTCTTTTATTAACTAAATTGAATCTTTTTTTTTTTTTTTGATATTTTTTTGACCTTATTTCCCTTACCATGTTACTTAAAAGCTAAGAAATTTTATAATACATAAAAAGTAATTAGTAGCAGCTGATAAGTTACTTTATCTTTTATAAACTTAAGTTGTCATGTCATAAAAAATTCTGATATGCGTGGATTTAAAAATAATGACATGGACTACTTAAAAAAAAAAACGTGATTTTACGATAGCTTTTTCTCTTCTAAAAAATCAAAAAGCAATTTGAAGAGAAAGCAAAAGAATTAGGGTTTTCATCTTTATTGTAAAAAATCCAAAAACAGTTTGAAAAGAAGAGAAAGCAAAAGAATTAAGGTGTTTAGTCTAATTACAAAAAATTCAATAGCAATTTAAAGAGAAGAGAAAGCCACCTATGAAAACCATAGAGAAGAGAAAAGTGCAGTTTATATCTCGAATGCAAATCAAGAGCAAATCGAGATGTTTTTGTGTCTCAAAAGATGGAGAAGCAGGGATTGGATGAGGTCAAGTTTTTGTTAGATGTTAATTTAATGGGGATCGGATGAGTTCAAGCGAGTACTAGATAAGTTATTTCCATCTTTTATAAACTTAAGCTTCCATGTCATAAAAAAAATTAATATACGTGAATTTAAAAATAATGACATGGATTATTTAAAAAAACAAAATGTGATTTTATAGTAGCTTTCTCTCTTGCAAAAAACCCAAAAGCAAGAGAATCAAGCTTTTCATCTTTATTGCAAAAAATTCAAGAAGAGTTTGAAAAAAGAGAAAACAAGAGAATTAGAGTTTTTATTTTAATTATAAAAAATTCAAAAGCAATTTGAACGAGAAAAAAAGATAGTCTCTTGTAAAAATAAAAAAGAAGAGAAAAGTATAGTATCTCAGATCCAAATCAAAAGCAATTCAAATTGTGTTTGTGTCTCAAGAGCTCGAGAAGCAGGGATTGGATTAGGTCAAGTTTATGTTAGTGTTAATTTGACGGGGACTGGATGAGCTCAAGTGAGATTAGATAAGATGCTTCATTTTTTATAACCTTATGCTGCCTTGTCATAAAAATTTCTAATATACATGGATTTAAAAATAATGATGTGGACTACTTAAAAAAAAAAAAACTGATTTTACAGTAACTTTCTCTCTTTTAAAAAACCCAAAAGCAATTCAAAGAGAAGAATTAGGTTTTTCATCTTTATTACAAAAAATCCAAAAGCAGTTTGAAAAGAAGAGAAAGCAAAGGAATTCGGGTTTTTATTCTAATTGCAAAACTTTCAAGAGCAATTTGAAGAGAAGAGAAAGCCAATCTCTTGCAAAAATCAAAGAGGAGCAAAGTGTAGTATCTCGAATCCAAATCGAGAGCAAATCAAGGTGTGTTTGTGTCTCAAGAGCTGGAGAAGCAAGGATTGGAAAGGTCAAGTTTATGTTAGATGTTAATTTGATGGGGAGTTTTAACATGATCAAAGCTGCTCTGCCTACGATGAAGAGTAGCAGGAAGGATCGTGGCCCTGCTTCGATTGCTTTCATGTCATCACAGGCCCTGCTTCGATGAAGAAATGATCAAATATGTTAATTTGGTTTTTTAGTGATCTTGGTTCTTGTTTTTGTGCTTTAGAGCCCTGATGGTGATGTAATAGATTGTGTTTTATCTCACATTCAACCAGCATTTGATCATCCAGAGCTTCAAGGAAAGAATCCCCTGGTAGATTTTCTGTTTGTTTCTACTGAAAAATTTTCCAGAATTCTTTTTCCTTCTTAATTTTTTGTTGGTTTTAAAAGGTTTGTGATTCTGACTTGTGTGAGTGTATTATCTTTAAATGAATCCAGGATCCACCGAGAGACCAAAAAGCAATTAAACAAGAGAGGCAGTGGCAGAGAGCTATCAGCTCTGGGCAGATTCAGGTGAATCATGCCTAGAAAGAACCGTTCCAATAAGAAGAACCATAGAAAAAGATGTTTTAAGAGTAAGTTCTGTTAAAAGATTTGGCAAAAAATTAAGAAGACATGTAAGAAGACACTCAACAGGCCGTGGTCGTGAGGTTAGTTAGTATTGGCATCAAGAATTTGCAAATTTTTAGAGCAAAATCATTAGTGGAACTGATTAACAGAAAAGAATGATGAGCTAGTCATTTAATAAAATGCTTCGCTATCATGTTTCTAGGTCACCTTTTCTTTTCTTTTTTTGTGGATTTGTTGAACCAGAATTTTGGTCATAACTCATTGGAAAATCTGTCATTTCTAGTTATTCCTAGAAACATCTACCAATTTTTTTCTCTTTTTTTAAAAAGGCTAATTTCATTTCCATTCATTTTCATCCAAATTAAACAGTGAATAATAATATTTGGAGGAAAAAAAGAGTGGCAGGACATTAAATGTTGAAGTTGTTTTCAAATACAAAGCACTCTGCCATATGTCATAAACATTTATTTATTGCACCTAAAAAGGACAAAAAAATAATGGACCTTGAAAAATGTTCTACATGTGCTTATAGAAATATCCTAGTATTTATATTGATAATGTTGTGTGTTACTACAACATGCAGTTGTTTTTGTTAATGGAGATCAATATTTTAGAGCAAAAACAAGCATAAATGTTTGGTCACCTCAAGTAACCAATGGATATGAATTCAGTTTGTTACAAATTTGGGTCATATCTGGTTCTTTCGGCAATGATCTTAATACCACAGAAGCTGGTTGACAGGTAAGAATTTTCTTCATATTCTAGAACAGGTTCAAAAAATGGTCTCAATATTAATCATGCTTAACATGCTACTTCATTTTGGTACTTGGCATGGTTCAGTAAGAGTCATAGGGGTGCCTAAGAAATTGATTTTTTCTTTTATCTTCATGTCAGTCCGGATTTATATGGAGACAGTTATCCTAGGTTCTTCACTTATTGGACAGTGAGTCTTATTAAAATTCCTTCCATAGTTTAAAGAAATATGAGCTAGTGGCTAGCTGGAATTGATGGATTCGTAGACTGATGCATACTGAGCTAGAGGATGCTATAACTTGCTTTGTTCTGGATTTCTCCAAACCAATGGCAAGATTGCCATCGGAGCTACAAAATCTCTAAGATCATCATACAATGGCAAACAATTTAATATTGGCTTGATAGTTTGGAAGGTGAGCTTTTTGGGTTACTGAATGGTAGTTGAGAATCACTTATAGTAGTGTACTGTTTTAATTAATTCTACAACATGAAAGTTTGACTAATTAAATTAAGCTTTAAGGTGGTTTTTTTACAGTTAACATGAATAAACTGGGTGTGGTTCTTGATATGCCCTGCTTATGAAACATTCATTCTACTTTGAAGGACTTTCTTCTACTGTCAGTACATTGACTTTGTGAGACTATGAACTAAATGATGCACAATGCAGAAAATGAAAGGCCATAGATTGCAAGTATCATAGTAGCCTCCTCTAGAGCAATGAAAGCAGATGAAGTGGCCAAGAAAGCTTTAGATGGCATCAAATTGGCTAGATTTATTATTCCATGAAAATTTGAGGGATTCTTGTTTTCCATAGCGACAGCTAGTCTATCTCCACAGAGATCATTCTTGATGGCATTTATTAAGGTTATTGACGTGGGTGCGTAATACGCATTGTAGCTCTGTTTTTCCAATGGAACTGGTATGGAAGCATAGAAAAGTGGCATGCAAATCGTAAGTATCCAATAGCTCCTTGTGTATTTTTCTTTGTATGCTAGGAAAAACTACTTGAGATGTTGCTAGAAGCGTACTTTGTTGTCATTGATAGTACCCTCAACAAGTTGACATCGATACTAGCAGTAATCATTATGTTTATTTCCCTTCATCTTTCCTTGTATAGGATGTTAACATCTTTATTTTTCATTCACTTCTGAAATCTTCATTTTCCATGTTTCTTTTCTTCATGTGGGAAATAAATTTCCTTTTTTTCTTTCTGGCTATTAATTGTATATGCTTTTGAGCCTCAATTTCTTGTGGGCTTTCCATTCAGTCAATGGTTGTTGAGAATTTAATCCATGCTTTCAACTGAAAACCAGGTTACATTATAAGCAAAGTTGGTTCCAGCTTGTATGTAAAGCTAAATCAAGGAATTTGTTTATCAAAAAAATTTAAATAAGACCTTTTGGAGTTTAACACATTAAATGGTTAACTGTATTTTTTTTGCAGGGATCATGGCATTTGGTATAGAATATGCACAATGGTTATGGAAGAACTGGCAAGTTTGATATTGTAAATCACATATGTATTAGTTCATTTGCTTTCTGTCTTATTGCATTATTTAACTTTGTTTGGCTATATAATGCATTATTTGATTTTGAATTCTGATAAGTTTGTTTAGCTGTATTATGTAGGGATGTGAAGAATTTGATAGTAGAAATGCTTCAAGCTGCAAAGTCCCCAAATATGCTGTAATGAAAGGCAATTTGACACTCTTGAATATGAAAACCTTGTCTTGTTCTCAATGTGACTTTTTAATTAATTAAAGCTTCGATTTCTTAAGGAAATCAATAAGAGCCTTTTTTTTTTTTGGCATACTATCTTAAATTTTTTAAATAATGCTAAGATTCATTTTTATTTTGCTTTCTAAAGTTTCAAGTTGATAATTTTCTCTCTTTGTATATCACACAACAGTCCTAATTGATTATAGAATCAAAGCATTCTCAATACTGAAAATTATTCAATATCATTGTTACATAGTATCAACTTGTATATTGCATTAACCATCAGATTACAATATGGTGTGTAAAATCAGTGGCTAGACATCCTTTTGCAGTGCATTTCCTTTTTCTATTATATAATGAAAATTAATTCAATGATACAATCACAACATAAGTCAAAAAATAATTTAATGATAAGAGTATAAATTTTTTCAACAATTCGATGTGAAAAGGAATCCAGATATCTTAATAAATATCATCAAGATTCAAGGATAGCCATAAGAGTTGTAAGAATACATCAAAATAAAATTATGTCGAAACCATAACTAAAAATAATAAAGATTTTTAAGTTGGATGATCTTCAAACAATATCTTCAAATTTGGTTGAGAAATCAACTTAAACCTACTTCGTGATTCAAAGGTAGCCAAATCGACAATATTACTTCCGACTTGGTGGTGGATTATGGATAATCAAATTTTGAGATGAACTTTGTCAAATTACTACATTATTAGATTATTGTTCAAACATTAAACACCTTCGTTACAATAATATGATAACATATTAAAATGCTTGCTTTATTAACTCTGTAAAAGGCATGCTAGAATCTTGTAATATAGACATTTATAAATATAATAAGAAGAAGAAAAAAATTATTCAATCATATTTGTCAAGATATAATATTTCAAGTTGAAATTAGTAATGAAATAAAAAAGAAATAAAGAAAAGTGAAGGTATACTTTATTTTATGAAGAAATATAATTTGTAGTTGTATTGTTAAGGATATTACAATCATCAATTTGGCCCTATAAATGATATAAATTTTTTCAAAACACGGTAGTTTGGACATGCAAATTATTAATGAATAAATTATTGAATTATTTATAAATTAAACAAGATAAACAATGCAAGTTTACCTCGAAGTCAGTAATGATTACTTTTGGTTCTTTGGAAGAAAGCATCACCTTGTGCTTGCAATTGTATTTGAGACACATTTTCCTTTCTTGATGATTTTTTATTTTTTTTCTCATATCGCGGTTTGTATTGAATGTTCTTCTTACCTTTTGACCATTTAGTTGGAGGATTTAATAACAAATCTTTATTTGCGGTAGCATCACAATTAAGACCATTTTCATCTTAATCATTATTGTTTCCCTTCTCGACTAAACTACTTTGGTACCTTGAAAGCAATCTCAATATTATTCAAATCATGATGAGCCATCTTAGACATATTTTCATCGATAGCGACAATACTCATCACAACAAAAGATCTTCTCATTAGCAAATTCAATCGCAATGTAGTAGTCGAAGAAAATATATTATTTTTTTGACAATCTTGTTCCATGAAGCCTACATTTTGAGCACCACCACTCTCATTCACCACATATCTAAAAGCTTTCTTAGTTTTTGTACCAACATCTAACCACAAAATTAAGAATACTTTTGTTAGACTCTGTTATCTTTCTAGCTGAAAATATCGGATGTTTATGTGATTCCTCAACCATTTCATGATTATGTTCATCATCAAATAAAGTCACTTTCCATATCTCTTTAGTCACTTTGAAAATGATTCTAGCTTTACATCCATATCTATATTCTAATCTTTCTCTCTTTCTTTTCTCATCGGGGCCAATAACTCTAGATTTCCCTTCACATAAACAATTTAGTTCTTGACGAATCAATTTCTCATTTTTATTATAAGATTTTCTTCCTTTCCTCACGCCAAAACCCTTTCTAAAAGCATACAAATTGTATCTATTGTATGCTTCATCTTCTAAATAAAAAAGCATTCCAACATTAAACACAAAGTCTTCCTTCATATGATATGCAACGAGATGATATAACACCTCCATTCTCATCTAAATAATGAAAATAAATTTACAAATTTATCATTTATCATTTATGTATATGATATTAATTATAATATGTTAAGAAATAACAAATATATTATGAAAAATATAAATTTACTTGTTTAAAGAGTCATATCCTTTACAACCAAAACCACAAACTTATCCTAAAGATTTTGTTTTTAATGCAATGGCTTCCTGTCAAGCTAGGACACGAATTTTTTAAAAAATTTCAAATTAATGTATACTTATATGTAGCTAGGACACGAAATTTTGAATAAGAAAATATTATATATATATATATATATATATAGGTGTGGATGTAATGTTTTTTTTTTTTTGAAAAATATGAAATATTCTACCTACTTTTTACTAAACATTGTTTCCAATCTATACTTAATAGTTTTTATTAAGTGAATGAATTTTGAATTTCAATCATTCTAGAGGACAAAAAAAAAAAAGGTACGGAATAAAACTAAATCCGCTATTTGACCATCCAAATAATGGAACATGTTTCCAAGAGATAAACTTAAGGCCTTGAGTTATTCCACTGATAAGCTTTCTGTTGCGGCAGTTAATCACCTGGTTGATATCTAAATTGATGTTTACTTATTATTTAAGCATAACGGAGCCAATCTAATGAATTTCGAGCTTTCTTAACTCTAAGATATCATGTCAGATTGTCGGATCGATTGAAACAAATATAGCAGACAAGTAAAAGACATTCGCATAGCATACATCACTATTAATATTCTTGGACTTGGATAAATCTAAATTAGCTGCATTTTCTAGACTCTTTGAAAAACGTTGGCCTTTATATATGATTTTCTGTACTTTGCTGCCCATATTTAGTTGGAGCCCAAAAAATTTTATGACCCAACATGAACATGAACAGAGATCAAACTCTTGAGCACGAAGGTATTTCATGAAGATGATGTTTTTCTTTTTTGCTGAAATTACAAGGCGCGTTTTGCTTTTGACGGAAGATGAAGATGAGAATTTCCTCCAAACCAGACATCTAAACTCCACAAGTCCTAACAAGCAAAGCTTGAAGAGGTTGACAACCAACATAACTATTGCAGCACAACCAGGAAGTTACTTTAATTGTTGGTAAAACGAGAATAGCAGTTCAGTTCCAAAGTGGCTGGGAAACTTATGGAGAAATGACAATGGAGGAAATGACGTGTTTATACCCCACATTGTCAAATCTAGAACAAGACAAAGATCAGGTATATATCCACTTAACTTGATCATGAATGACCAAACTGATCACTGTCTGGAAGATTTTAATCTTTAAATTTGTTTAAAAGTTTCACAACTGATTTGCAGATAGGAAGAATAATGGAAGAAGAACAATATACAAGCAAGTCGAAAAAGCCATATGAATATTTCTTAAGGAGGCTAAACATATGAAAATATTACTTTGTTTAAATATGATACACCTACTGCAAATAAAATAGCAAGAAGAGAAAATGTACCAAATTGTACCTCATTCTAACAATAAATAAATTATCATAAATGCATTTAGACAATGCTTAATATTCTGCCTCATTAAATCATTATTTGATTGCAGCTTTCAAAAACTTCATGGTAAGCTAATGCCATAAGGAATTGTAAATATTTACTATTTCAGCATATTGCTCTGTTTTTGTAAGCTTTGTAAGTTGTAACAGCGCTGGAAGCCCTGTAAAGTGTTTAGCCCTCAAAAAATTTAATGGTAGTATTATGTCAGTTTGCAATTGCACAACAAATACCTTTCAAGAAAGAGGTGAGCAAATTTTGATCTTCTTCCAATTGAAATAGAGAAGAAATCAAACTGACAGTCAAGAATCAAACTCAAAAACAATACAGTAAAACAAAGTTCAAGAATCAAACCCAAGAACAATACAGTAATATACATTACGTGAATTAATAAAAAAATGAAATCGAGATACTCACATCAAATTACTCTTAGATTTGCTCTTGATTTGGATTCGAAATTCTACACTTTTATCTTCTCTTCAAATTGCTCTTGAATTTTTTGCAAGGAGAATCAAAACCCTAATTCCTTTGCTTTCTCTTCTTTTCAAATTGCTATTAGATTTTTTGAAATAAAGATAAAAACCTCAATCCTCTTGGTTTCTTTTCAAATTGTTTTTGGGTTTTTTACAAGAGAGAAAGCCACTATAAAATCCTGTTCCTTTTTTTGTTTTTTCAAGTAGTATATATCATTATTTTTAAATACACATGTACTAGATTTTTTTTATAACATGACAGCTTAAGTTTGTAAAGGATGGAGTAATTTATCAGCTGTTACTAATAACTCTTTATGTATTATAAAATTTCTCCTTAAAAGCTTATTTCCTAAAAAGATGTTGTTTCTAATCATGCAAGTGCCTTGTTATTTATTTGATTAGTAAAATGAAAATTATACAAATTAATTACTCTCGTCAATTTTTTTTTTCAAAGGCTGTCTAATGATTTCCCTTTTCTCCTTACAATCACCGTTTCCTTTTTCATCTTATTTGTTTATTGAGAAAATTACATACCTAGTATATATTTTTTATTATTTTTCTATTTGAGCATTTTTTTTTCAATTTTATATATTTACGTTACTCTTTTTTTTTCTATGTGAGAATCTATTATTAATTTAGTTTGTTGGAAGTTGATGTATTTTATTCTGCAACGCATGGCAAGAAGGAAACCTAAAAAAATGTGAATAATAGGAAAATTGCAAATTGGAGTAAACTATAAATTATTTCCTCTTGTTTCAAAAAACAAATTAATTAATCCATGTCACTTTAAAAACCATTAATTAAACTTTTAATCATTATTGACCATACTTAATTTAATATAATTTTTACTCTACAAAATATCTTATTTTCTTATCAATTTTTTCATATTTTTTTCTATTTTTAAAACAAAAAATAA